CTTTAAAACAAACATACAGAAACAACTGTGCTCAGAGCCTCACAAACTCCAAATAGACAACTGACTTGCAACCATTAACATACAGGTCCATTACATTGCTATGACTATTTCCTTTCATCTCTCCTAAAAGTTTGATACCACTGCCTGTGGGGAAGGTGGGCTTTCTTCTATGCCGTTTATTGATTATTCCCATCTAGGCCATAGAGCCCCTTTAAATGCCCTGAACTCCTATGGCGATTATATGACTCACCTGGCATTGCTCAAGTGCTATCTTATGAAGTTAATCAGGCTTGTTTTCCACGTTGCCATGTTTCATCTCCCTAACTACATGATATGCAATTCAGGAATGTTATGTTTCTTTGATTCGCTTGGTGTTTACTAAAGTGACTTGAATTAGACTATAAACTTTTTGAGGGAAGGGACTTTGATCCCTTATTTTGTTTTCCAACGTAACTCCTAGAGCTCTACCCTGAAATACAATATATTCTCCATAAATATTTATTGAGTGAAATAATAACCACACTAAACCAGGTGCTCAAGAGGTATTAGTTAGGTTGAATAATACTACTACCAATCTACTATCAGCTGGACCTATTTTTGGATTAATTTTCCAACAGCTGTGTGATTTTCATTAGTAATTCAAAACACTTCCATGACTTTGTGGCCTAGTACTGCCCTGTGACACAGGTGAGAGCCACATACACACAAAAGGCTGGAAATTGGTTTCTGTTCCCAAGGGATCCATGCTTCTTTTCCATTTCTCAAGGACTGCAGCTGTTCTCTTATATACCCTCTTTTTGTCTTCTTGTCCAAGCATGCCTTTCCAAGTGGGGTAATCATGCCAACAATCAGCGTGACTATTTTACACTAGAATTTAACCCCTATCAATTAGCACAATGAGACAGCCACCCAGGCATCCTCATGCATGGATGGGAACCAGGGAAAATCAAGGCTGCTGGCTTGGTGTTCCAGAGATTGAGTCTAGCAAGCACATCCCTTTCTGCCAAGATCATCTACTCTCAGAGACACCCACATGACACTAAAATTCCCTTGTCCTGTTTCTCCATTTAGATGAACAGTTTTAGAGGAGAATGTCCATTGTAGTGGGGCTCTTCATTTTGCATGCTACCAATGCTGAAGTCTGGGAGTTCATGCTGCTTTCTTCTGCTTTTCTCCAGCGTTAGAATTACTAGGAAGGGTTCCCTTGCTGTGTGTACCCAGCTTCAGGAAAGTGCCCAGCAAAGGGTTCTTCCTCCAAATGCATTTCAGAACTCCGACTATGTGGAGTAGGTACTACAGTTCTTCCATTTCAATGTTTCTCTGGCAGTTGATGGCAGCACTGACTACTTACTTGGTAAATTCAGCAAAATATTCTGTGTTCACTTGTGTGAGGGGTTCTCCTGCTGCCTCAGCAGCCTGGACTCCCAAGGGTGACAGCTGCAAGGCCACAAGACTGTTCCTGATGAACTCTGATGGTCAGAAACTTTACAGGCAACTTTCTCTGACTCACTGCGTGTTTGGTACATGAGAAAGTAAATTGGCTCCTGATACACAAATTAAGAATGGGCACGATTTTCTGGGGATTATACTAAGTGTTTGTGGGATTAAATTTCTATCACAGACCTGAATGGTCTGACTCAATTGGTCAAGTGTCCTCCCATGCACCAAAAGGTTGCTGGTTTGATTCCTGGTCAGGGCATATGCCCAGGTTGTGGGTTCAATCTCAGGTTGGGGAGCATGAGGGAGGCAACTGATGGATGTTTCTCTCTCACATGGATGTTTTTTTCTCTCTCTCTCAAATCAATAAAAACATATTTAAATCATTTCTAGTGCAAAATTTCTACAGTTTCTATATAACATACTACTGATTGAGCTGAAATGTCATGATTCTATGCATGGTATCCATTACTCTCAAACCGAAGCAAATGTCTATCAGCCTCAACAGATATTACACTAATGTCCTAACAGCTCCTCTTAAAAACAATAGTCATTGATTGACCACTGGCCCATACTACATGCTCTATTGTCACGCATTTCATACCTCAGTTTAAAATATTTCTAGGTCAGCTTCAAAGATGGTTATAATAAACTATCTCGTTGCAATTGAAGATATATACTAAAGGAACATGAAAAAGGTAATATTCTTTTTAGAAGATCTACTCTTACAAAAATGTTACTTAACAGTGACAAAAACAATAATGCATTCTTGGCTTAAGAACTGCTTATCTAAAATAAAAATAATAGTGAGGGGAAGGCAATGGTAAGATATGTACACATATAATACCTTAATAAAAAATGAAAATAAAATAAAAATAATATAAGAAGCAGGTGTGTGTGTGTGTGTGTGTGTGTGTGTGTGTGTGTTGCTATTATTGTTGTTTTCCTTTGTCCTACTCTGCTCCTAAAGTATTGGATACTCAATTACAGTGTTCACCTTGGAAGTTTTCTGGTAAATATGTCAGCATGCTTTCAGCTATAAACAATAAGACCTTCAACTCAACTGCCTTAAAAATCATGAACATTAATTATATGTTATAAATATATTATTTTATTATTATCCTATATAATATTGAGGGAATATGCTAATTAATCCTCATGCACTTGCAAAATGATGGTGCCCACAGCCAATAAGAAGGGAATATGCTAATTGACTGCCCTATCCTCAAAGATGGCAGCACTCACAGACACAACATGGAAGCGCCCTGTCCCCTCAGTCCCACCAGGACAGCAGGTGTGCAGCAAGGCTAGGCCTGCCCCTAGGTGAGCCTGGCCACTCCACACACCTGCCTTAGATGGTGGCTGCCCAACTGCCCAGGGCTGGCCCAAGGTACAGGCAAGCCTCGGATGGTGACTGTCCAGCCCCCCAGGGCTGCCCGAGGCTCAGGTAACCAGGGCCAGATGAGGCTTGTGCTGTTGGCAGTGGCAGCAGTAGAGGTGTGATGGGGTGTTGCCTTCCCCAGATTGTCAGATTGCCTACAGCCCCTGAGGGCTCCCCAGACTGAGAGGGGGCAGGCCAGGCTGAGGGACCCCCTGCTCTAGTGCATGAATTTCCATGCACTGAGTCTCTAGTTATTTATAAAAGTGAAAACATTTATTATCTAGCATGACAGGAAATAGATGAACTCCTCAAAACTGCTGGTTCAGTGACACAATAATATCACATAGACTAGCTTCTCTCTATATCTCTGTCCTTGACTCCATAGACTCCACACCATCATGAGGCTGTTCCACTTGAATCTGCTGCTAATAACAACTGGGCTGCATGCTTCCTGTTCACATCCGAAGGGAAAGGACAAAGTGGGCCTCTCTCCTCACCACGGAAGAAAAGTCTCTCCTTTCAATCTGATTGGCCAGTTCAGGTCAACTGCCCAAGCCAAATAGTGTCTCCAGGGAAACACTATGTAACAATTTGCTTACCCTTAGGCTCCTAGAAGAACTTCTAAAAAGGGAGAAAGAATGATCATGGCTGGCTGAGACTAACTAAAACCATTTGGGGGAGGTGTATATTACTAAAAGCATATTGATAAACATGAACCAAAGGAGGGGTAGAGCCGATGCTGTGGAGAAAGTCATAATTGCAAATATGGATGGACATTACTGTTCCAACAAGAAAGACAACTGACTTCTTAAGTTAAGAAACTAAAATTTTTCTGATATGCAATTTTTAAAGGCTCTGTACATCCACTGAGTGAGATTCTGTTCCAAACAGGTGCCAATAATCCTCTAATAGAATGGTACCAATAACCCCCTACCAGAATCAGCAGCAAGAAGAAGTGGGGCTTGTTTAAGGCAGAGTGCAAGTTTTAAGAGGCCAGGGACCATGTCTGCCTTCCCCACTGCTCTGTCACTGAGGCTTAGAACAGCGTTTTCAACCGCTGTTCCGCGGCACACTAGTGTGCCGCAAGATGTTGCCTGGTGTGCCGTAGGTGCAGACAAGACAAGAATTTTATAATTTTTCACTATTTTGTTTACTTAATATTTCATAATAAAGTAATTATAAAATACTTTCTTTGTGTTTATTTGATTCCTATTCAAGAGAATTACTTTATATATAGTCAATATAGGCACAGAGTTAAATTTTTTAACATTTTCTAATGGTGGTGTGCCTCGTGATTTTTTTCATTAAACAAGTGTGCCTTTGCCCAAAAAAGGTTGAAAAACACTGGCTTAGAAGAAGGCCTGGAACAGGCGAGATGTTAAAATAAAGTGTCTGCTTAAACACATAAATATTAGATATCTTTCATTCAATGATAAACTCCTGCCCCAGAACAGGGCATCACACTACAGAGAAGTACTGGGTGCCAGATTAATTTAACTACCAAAGGTGTCAAAATTTTTTTTGATAGAACCAAACTAACCCACTAAATAAAAGCCATTTAGTAAGCTGCTGCTATGCTCCATGCTAATGACATTCTGGACTCTGAACAAATGTCTCCGAAAAGGCTGTTGTTAAAGAAATATCACACCTGCCCAGCAGGCATGGCTGAGTGATTGAGCATCAACCTATGAACCAGGAAGTCATAGTTCAATTACTAGTCAGGGCACATGACCGGGTTACAGTCTCAGTCCCCATTGTGGGGCATGCAGGAGGCAGCTGGTCAGTAATTCTCTCATCATTAATATTTCCACCTCTCTCTCCCTCTCCCTTCCTGTATGAAATCAATAAAAATATATTTTAAAATAGAGAATCATTATACCGACAGTTTTATCTTTTAAAAAGGTGAAACTCAAACGCCTTTTGAGTTATTCTTCTATGAGAGCTGAGCATCTGAAACATAAACCTTGAGCGCCTCTGGCAGCTGGAACTGGAATACTTTGTTCTCCTATCAGAAGCCACTTTAGACATTCCCACAAAGACATCCCACAAGATGGCCAACCAAACAAAACACGGTCTCTGGCTTGCCCTGTCGTTTGATAATAAAGAAAAGACAGACTGAGCCAGAACTCCCCCATCTCCCCACAGACTCTGTGGGTGAGCGTGGCCCGGCTGTCTCACTGACCTTCCTGGACACTGGTACTTCCCACTTCCAAAGGCCACGAAGCCGTCCAAGAAAGCATGCTTCTCTAAATTTGCCTCTTTCCAACGTTCCTGTGGGAAGAAAACATTTTCCCCCCCCAAATCAGCCTTATATAAATAAGCTTAACTTTATTTCTCTAGGCTAAAAATGACCTTGTACAGCTAATCCTTGCATATAAAGTTGCAGGCTTGTTGGTCATTTTTTCCGACCTGTTATTAATATCAGCCACGATTACGCTTTTGGAACATAACTAATAAATAAAAGGGTTTAAGAAGAATTCTGTTAAGTGGCAAATGTAGATGACCATGTAAATCAACCCCAGGACAGACTCCAGAGAGGAAGAGTATTTACAACAGGGCCTCAGGCCCCATCCTGAAACTGCTCTTGGTGATAAATTTAGTAACAGACAGCTGCTGACAGCCCTGTTGGAAGGAGCCTGCATGCAGAACGGATACATCTGGATGCCATTTTTGACAGTTTCACCTGAAGGCAGAGAATAGATCAAATGGCCTCTTAAGATGCTGTTCAGCCCAGACACTCCCCCAATTCTAAGAAACAGCAGAACAGTTTTAATTTGCTTCATTTTTATTTTTCGGGCTCCTCAGAAACCAATAATGAGAACAACTGTCTGAAGAACATGAACTCAGTCTTCTGTGGGAACTAGGCATGTTTACTCTAACACGCTCTGCTGGTTTCAGATAAAAATTTATTGTAAAGTTGCTGAAGCTTATTCCAGGAACTTGCCTATCTGATTTGTTATACATGTTATGCCATATTGCAAATCTAATCTGTATTTTCACCTTTGTTACTAGAGTAATATGCTGCTTAATGACACAGTCCTAGTTAGTTTATGAATACATACTCCTGGCACAAAAATAAATTAAAATAAAAAGAACGATGTATTATTGAAAAAAAGTAACTTACGGGTTTGAACAGTTCCGGTTCAGGAAAATACTTTGGATTTCTATGTAGCCAAAATGGAGACAACATCAACAGGTCACCAGAAGGAACAGTGAAATTCTACAATAGAAAAATTGATTCCAATTTATTTTTTTGAATTCTGTTAAAAAGTGTTTGGGTCACTAAAAACAATGTTATGACTATATTGTGGTGAAGGCACATGCATTTTATAATTAATGGCGATAAACTTTAATTCTTTCCTGGGTAGACAATTCTATTTTCCAACTTGGGAGATGACTAATTTATAATTCTTATTTTTTAAATATTCTTATTAAAAAAAAAAAACACTTTTAAAGATTTTTTTTTAAGAGAGAGAAAGGGAGAGGGATAGAGAATAGAAACATCCATGATAAAGAAACATCATTTCTGCCTCCTGCACATCCCCACTGGGGACTGAGCCTCCAACCTGGGCATGTGCCCTGACTGGGAATTGAAGCAGTTACCTCTGGGTTCATGGATCAACACTCAGCCACTGAGCCACACCATTTGGGCACTGATTTCTAATTCCAATGATCAGTTACTGAATATATATATTTAGTTACATATGGGAAATATTTGATAAATGTGAAAATTTCAGAAACCAGTATAGGTCCATTCTAATGCAGTTTTTGATGCTCAATGCTGAGGTTTACAGCAAGTGTTCTAGAAAAACCTAACTCTGCGATAGGATATTGGTCACAGCACTAAGGACCGGGGCAGCAGGTGTCCTGCCCCTGGGGTCAGGGCAGGCCCAGTGAGTTCTTTGTTTTTTCATTCTTGCAGCAGCTGTTACGGGCAGAAGGAATATGAAGCAACTGGTTAGTAAGACACAGGACGAAGCAAGTGTGGTGCGTTTATTTGGATGGTTTTGTGTTGGGTGCTGTGGTGATTGTGGGGCTGAGCAGTGGGATTCATTCGACAGGAGAGTCTGCCCAATCCTCCTGCATTCATGTTAAATAAGCTATCCCAAGGAGTAAAACCATCTCATAAAATCACCTTTACGCTCAGGAACCACAGGGCAAAGAGCTCTCCTATGGTGTGTGATCTCTAGGTAGCTACCAACTTTACAGAGTGGGGCTGTTTTACTGGTAATAGCAACTCCCACCGCCAAATATCAGAAGCCACATCTATTTAACCCTGCATAATTTTCAGGTGTCCTCAAGATATTTGCAAAACACGAAGCTCATGCATCTAGAAATAACACCTTACAATTAAAAACATGTCTCCTTGTGGTAGTAGGAGGTTGAGTAATGGGAGAGGTCATTAGTTTTTGGCCCAAGAGAACCCCCTGTTGGCTCTGATGGGAACTGAATGTTGCTTGAGTTTTGTAATTTCAATGCCAGGACAGCTGGATAGTTAGATCCAAACCTGGGAAGAGAGAAGGCTTTCTGGTGCCCTCTTAACCATTTTTTTTTTTTTTTTAAGTTGAAAGAGATCGGTGAGATCCCAATTTGTGTTTCATTCCCTCTGCAGGAACTGAAGCTAGAGAGGTCATGACAGCTCTGAAATCAGCTGGGGGCAGGGCTAGAGGCAGTCTGTCCTTCCTTTCCCACCAAGCAGTCCTCTTTAGAGTCAGTTGACCTGTGATTATGACTTGTAGGCTGCTGACTGCTGAGGCCCACAAAGCCAGCTAATAAAGAAAGACGTCAAAGGGGGCCTGGATAACACCATTAACATCAGCAACAGGGAGAAGACCAAAGAGACATGCCTCTTGGAGCAGCAAATGCCAGGCTGACAAATGGCATAAAGGGATGCGCGAGCTGGTTGTATCAAAGGAACCCTCTGAGAGAACAGATATCAACATGCCTAGTCTAAACAGGCCCTGCCATTATTTGCAGGATGGATGAAGGGTCAGATCAAGAGGGAGACAAAACAGTAACGACAGGAACACAGACCACTAGCAAAGAGAAGTCACAACTTGGTGCAATGATAACGGCATCTCTCAGGTAAACAGAATGGAACCTGGCCAGCCCACCACATAGGGATGCTATGAGGCCAAATGAGCTTCTAGTCTGGAGAGGAACAAGAAGGAAGGGCTCTCTGCTATATCCTCAAGAAGAATTCTGAGAGCAAAGTGGGTGCAAGGAATGCAGAATATGGAAGAGAAGGGAGGAGTCCTATAAAGACAAAGCATCAGCAGGAGAAGGTCCAGAGCACCTGGTTTCCCTCCTAGCTCTTGGCCAGGAGCTTAGCTCTTAGCCCTTTAAAAGTTAAAGACTATTTATTTCTTCCTATTGTGTAGTCATTGTGAATAATTCCCTCTCCAATCGCTGTTTAATCTTTCATTGGCTAGATTAAATCATAATTAATCTGAACCTTTTCTAATGTTTTTCCTAGTATAAATGCCATCACTAGAGCCTTCTTCCTAAAAGCATTTTTCATACAAAATCGTTTAACAGAGATATTCAGAAGACACAGGACATGAATATTTTAATGCTATTAATACCTGTTGCTTAATTGCTTCCTCAAATTTTGTAAAAAATAAAAATATCTCTAACTACAATATGAACATGTCAATTTCATTACCCTCTTATCTGCTAGTCTGACATTTTCAATAGTCAAGTTTTGATTGCCACCTAAAAGTTTATGTCTTTGTTGAGCATTTTCCATGTTGTTTTCTTCTATAAACTTTTGTGCATTAATCTAGGTAACCCTAGTGCTTTACTTATGAGCTGTAAATTCTTTATATATTAAAATTATGTCCCCTTGTGTTACAAATATATTGCTATTTATTCTTAATTTTTGGTTTACATTTAGTCTGAATTATACTTTACAAAATAAGACATGTCAATTTTTAATATGGTACATTCAAACCTGTTCATCTGCTTTGTAATTTCACTGATTAATCCTAAATTTATAATAGTGGCTACAATATTGGCTTTCTCTACAACAGTGACTTTCAAAGGTGGGTTAGGGATTTCTAGGAGTCCCCAAGACCTTTCCAGAGCATCTGCCAGGTCAAACATCACTCCTGAGTAAAAATACTCACTCTAAGTACAGGATACACCAGTGGATTTTAACATAACTTACTGCCAAAATTCACTGATATATTTTCAGATTGCAACAAACTTATAAGAAAATACCACTGAGTTTTAGTGTAGTATCAAAGAACAGCCACACATATTTGAAAAGGCTACTAAAACACTCCTTTTTTGGCTACATGTCAATGTGAGGCTGGATTTTCTTCATTTCCATCAATAAAAACAATACATCACAATAGACTGATTGCAGACACATACATTGGAATTCAGATATTTTCTATGAGCAAGACATCAGATTTACAAAAATTTAAAAACCATGCTACTCTTCACTTTTTATTTTGGAAAGTATGTTTCTTAAAACTGGGCTATTAATTTAACAAGTAATAGAGTTTCTTGTTCTTTTTAAATGAATTACTAAATATATCCTATAACAATTTCTCAGCTTTGGTTTCTAACACAGTTAATATACATAACTCACACAGACAAAAGCTATTTGGGATCATCAATAAATTTGAAAAGTATAAAGAGACCCTGAGACCAAAAGTTTCAGAACCACTATGTTAAAAAAAAAAAAAAAAGGTACCCTCTTTTATTTATTTATATTGAGAAATCATTTGTGTATTTGTTTAAGGGCAATTTATAACTTTTAAAAATTATTTATTGTTCAAAGTATTACATATGTCTCCCTTTCCCCTCACTAACCTCTCCCAGCCTGTCCCCACACCCCAGGACAGGCCCTCACACATGTATTGTCTGTGTCCAGTGGTTATGCTTATGTGCATGCATATAAGTCCTTTGGTTGACCTCATAACCTCCCGTCCACCCATCTTCCCCTGCCTTATCTAGTCTTCCCAAACCACATATTAATCTCTTTCCTCTTCGTGAATTTATAATTATTTATTCTGTTAAATTCTTATGTATAAGGGGTTTTGTTTCTTTGTTATCTATTGAATTACTCTATTGTTCTGACAATCTGATCTGACACCAGTGTGATGCCATTTTAATTGTTTTAATAACATATTTTAATAGTTTTATAACATTTTACTACCTCAAGAAGATAATTAATATGCCTTAATTATTCATATTTTCCAATACTACTTTATTACTTGTTTGGTATTCTTGCAGATTAACTTTATACTAAAAATATGAAAACTTGAAAAGAGAGTATAGGTAGAAGTTTAAGAGTTTTCAAAAGGTGGCATAATAAAGAGAAGGAAGAAATTAAGTAAATCTGAGAAAGCAGACAGTTGTTAATTTTAATAGAAAAGAATACAAAAGCAAAAATGAACACTGATACTCTGTTCAGACTACGCAGAGGAAGAGCAGTGGGAGAATACTTCTAGCATTCATAGCAAGACACCCTGACCAGCTGTCCAACAGGAGGGAAAATATGAATGAACCTCTGTCACTGCTCAATACAGATGGTTTCCTATGAAATGTTTTCTTTAATCCAAATTCTTAGGAATGAGTTAGTATATTCAGCAAAGGCATAGTGAAAAAAATGAAAGCCATACACAGAATTGAGAATAGGGAACTGATTAAAAAACTTAGACTCTGTCAGTATATTAGATTATTATGCTGCAATTCAAATGGTATAGATGTCCTTTATTGATATAGAAAATTATTTGTGATCTATTATTAAGTAAAATAAAAGCAGACTATAAAAAAATTAACACAGTAGGACCCCAATTGAATTTTAAAAAATGCACACACTACAGGAAAAGAAAATCTGAAATTATAATACCAAAGGTAATTATAATACCACAGGGGTAATCTTTGTCATGAGATTATTAGCAATTTTTTATTTCTTCTTTCATCTTTTTTTTTGTACTCTCTTGTTTTTTTCTAATTACCATGTATTACTTACATTATGAAAACTCTGCAAGTTATTAAAGTTAGAGGCTCATCTCCCCAGGGAGAAATCCAGGTGCTTGTGGGCTTCCTAAGGGGAAGGCCACATTTACAAAAGAAACAGTGAGTGCAGGAAACACTGTACCTTTTATATCTGTGAAGACCATGTTGTTGGAAATAATGAAAGGAAGGATGGTGACATTCTGGGAAGATGCAGCCTGAGCACAGGTATCTGGGCTGCCCCACCACTGAGACACCATCACAGCTACTGGGTTCTGGATGGAAACTGAACAGGTAGTAAGTAGCCTCATGTTCTCTAGAAGAGTGAGTGTAAGGAAATGGAGATATGAGACTAATAATGATTTAAAATAAGTTCTTGATTTGTTTTAGATATCCATTATGTCTAATTAAAATATTTTATCCCATAGATGTTAGACTTTATAAGAGGGTTGTATATCATGAATCATAAGTGTATTTATACCCTTGGACCAGTAATCCACTAGTAACACATAATTTAAGAATAATCATTATAAAAAGAAAATGGCCCTGGCCAGGTGGTTCCATTGTTGGAGTGTCCTCCATCGCACCAAAAGGTTGAAGGTTTGATTCCTGGTCAGGGTACATACCAAGGTTGCAGGTTTAATCCCCGGTCAGAGAAGGTATGGGAGGCAACTGATCGATGTTTTTCTCTCATATTGATATTCTCTCTCTCTCTCTTTACCCTTATCATTCTCTCTCTCTCTCTCTCTCTCTCTCTCTCTTTCTCTCTCTCTCTCTCTCTCTCATCAATAAACATATCCTTGAATGAGGATTTAAAAAAAGAAAGAAAAGAAAATGCACTCTGTACAAAGATGCAAGTAATTACCACATTAAAAAATGAAAAAAATAAAAACAAAAACCCCACAAAAAAAAGCAATCTAAATTTTCAAGAACCAAGAAATAATTAAATATTCAATAAGCTATTAACTCTATGATGATTATGTGGCAATGAAAATAAATATGAAAACTCCCTAAATGCATAAAAAGTAAAAAATAATGTTAACAACTTTTTTTTAATGACATTTACACTATGACGAGAACTAGATTTATTTACTGACGTAATACAAAGAGAATGTTGGACAGTTGTTACAGTACAGTCATGGGGTTGTGGAGTTGTGTATGTATAAGTGTATATGTATAGGCATGTGTTTGAGCATGGATGTTTCTTTTGGTAACGTTGTTGAAATAAGTAAAATTAAATTTTAAGAACTATGTGGTGTTAACAGCCCCAACAATCTGACAGGGATATGATGTTAAAAGCTCCCCCAAAAACTACCCATTTAAGGGCAGAAAAGGAGTTGAGGGGGTTGAAGGGGTAGTGGAATATACAGTGACCATATCAGTATCAATGTTAAGCTTGACCAGCAGACTGAGTTGCTGGTCAAGAGAGAAGAAATTTTATGCTGAAAAACAAATACATTTGTGTCAGCATGCTTCTGTAAAATAAAAATACAAGAAAAGAGAAGATCAAATACAAGAAAAGAGAAATATTCAAGGAAATGAAAAGTAAAGTGAAGCCGAAACTGGTTTGGCTCAGTGGATAGAGCGTCAGCCTGGGGATTGAAAGGTCCCAGGTTCGATTCCGGTCAAGGTCATGTACCTTGTTTGTGGGCACATCCCCGGTAGCGGGTGTGCAAGAGGCAGCTGATTGATGAATCTCTTTCATCGATGTTTCTAACTCTCTCTCCCTCTCTCTTCCTCTCTGTAAAAAATCAATAAAATATATTAAAAGAAAAAAAAGAAAAGAAAAGTGAAATAAGCAGGAGCTAACATCTACCCAGTGGAAAACTCCTCCTGTGGAGGGGACCAAGGGGCCCAGAAGACAAGCTTCAGGTGGTGGCATAGGAGAAGCTAAAGGAAAAGAAAGAGGATGAGCACAGAATCCCAAGGGACAAAGTAGCGTTTATGTGAAGGAAGTAGAATTGGGGTGTAAGTGTAATTAATCAAATAAAGATAAATGAACAGCATGAGAATCTCCAAAGGCAGGATAGCAGGAGCCAGAAGGAACATGATCTCAGAGGAGGTGAGTTATATTGGTTAGAAAGTTGTGTGTGCCTAAAAGTTTTTGGTTTGTGTCTGGGAAGGAAATCTATTTATGAAACAAATTAAACACTTCTCATTATACAATCACCCTGTGATGATCTCAGATACTTAGCTAATGAAATAGCACAGCCAGGTGTTATGTCTGAGAAGAGGGGGGCAGAGCTGCCATATATGTGGCAGGCAGAGCGAATGGTTAAAGAAGCACAAGGTGAAATGTGTTGAAACCACATAAACCACACTGAAACTCACAGGAGAGAGAAGAAATCCAAAAGCAGCAGGAAAAAAAATTGTGTAAGAACTTAAATATAAGAATCCTTATGGGTTTTTTCTTCTCGATTCAGTCATGGGAATGGTTAGTACAGATAAGATGGGAACTTTTTTTTAAAATTGATCTGAGAAAGAGAGAGACATGGCTTTGTTGTTGTTCTTATTTATTCATTCATTGGTTATTTCTTGTATGCGTCCTGACCAGGGATTGAACACACAACCTTTGTATATAGGGACAACACTCTAACCAGCTGAGCTACCTGGCCAGAGCCTGAAATGCAACCTTTAAGGGAGAGCAATTACATTCTTCAAAAAACCTGAAGAATGAGACAGAAAGAGCAAATGAGAGAAAAATAAAGGAATTAAGGAAGAAAAGAAGAGAGCTATACTGATGACCTTTTCTTTTCTCTTTCATAAGGAAATACATGTGATGGGAAGGAAGAAAAAAATGGGAAGAAACAAGAGTGGATGAAAGAAAGGAATGTGAGTGCTTATGAAAAGGGTACAGAACAAGCATAAAACAGCTTTGAAGAGACTGTCTTGGTACAAAAATCAGACAAAACAGTACAAAATAAAAAGTGAAGGAAATTACAGACCAATAACTCTCATGAGCCTGGATGCAAAAATCCTCAATAAAATGTTAGCAAAAGACACTAACAATGTATAAAAATTATATACATCATGATCAAATGAGGTTTATTCTAGGTATCTACAAAAAATCTACAGTCAACATTATACTTAACAAGGAAAGACTAAATGTTTTCCCATAAAAATCAGAAACAATGCAAGAATATCTGCTGTCACCATTGTAATTCACCACAGTGCTAGATGACAGAGCCAATGCAATAAGGCAAGAATGCAGGTAGGAAGGCAGAAATTAAGATATTATCTACACAGAAGCTCATAAGGAACCTACAAAAATACTCCTAGGACCAATAAGTGAGGTTAGCAAAGTTGCAACATACAAAAAAATCAGCTGTATTTCTACAAACAAGTAATGTAAAATTGAGCCTTAAAACTTGAAAATATACCATTTATAAAATCTTAAAAATAACTGAAATATTTAGGTATAAATCTAACAAAACATGTATAGATCCTGTGTAATACAATAAAAATGAAGATGCCTGCTGGCAGATAAATGATTGTGTAATTCAAATAATTATCTCCTAGCCAGAATATAAATGAGGCTATAAAATAATATGAGTGTGCAAAAGTAAGTTTATAGTTTTTATAAAGAAAATAATAGTTAATATATAATAATACAAGAATAAACTGTGTTTCACATACATAGAACTGTAAACCTGCTTTTGCCCCATACTGTAAAATGTAAATATTTATAATATATGTATATACTTATTTTTGTATATTTATGTTATAAACACGTATAATGTAAATAAAATTATAGTAAAATTATAGTACTAAATAAAATTATAATGCAATAAAATTATAGTACTATTCAGACAAATAAACACATTGTTCTACTTAATTGCACCAAAGTTCTCTGACTATTTCCTCTGAAAGCATATTCTTTTATACTCTTAAAGTAATTAAGAATTTGATTATTTAAAAGCAAAAACTTTAAAATCACACTAAAACTAAATCCTGTAATTTATGTAAGATCAGCCAAAAAGCAACATCTCTTCTGAATTTAGCAAGTTGCAACCTTTATAAAATTTGGGTGTTGTTTTTTTTTGTTTTGTTTTGTTTTTTTTGTGTTGTACCACTGCAAAATGTTCTTGGTTTAAATCCAGGCACTCTCATGCTGTGTGTAAAAACAGCCAACAAGAGTGGAGGTCTGACTTAATGTGATCTTCCAGGCTCTAAGTCAAATCATTCTGAAACAATATTTTGTTCTGCTTGATTGACTCAGCAAATATTGACCTGAAATTCTGCCATGTACACATACCTTTCATGGTGCACTTCAGAATTTCCTCCTCCTCTGCCCATAAAAAGGACCTCTCTCCCTCACTCGGATGCTGATTGTTAAAATCAATTGTTTGTTCCCATATCTGTGATCTGTGGTCTGAAACTGTCTCTAGTTGGAACTTCGCTTGCACATGAATTCCTCAACCTATGGCTGCTCAGCAGTGAAAATATTATCTCATCCACCTGCTTGATTGAAATAGGATTATACTAATTTTAACACATAATCACATAGCCAAAATGATTATTAAAACATTATATTGTAGCTAAAATCTTCACCAATGGGAAAACACCTACATTGACAAAATGTTGCTGTACAACTCTTGTTAGTGATCTATTACTAGGTCATTCCGTGCTACTGGAACTTAAGGAATTATCTAATAGTATATGGAAAAGATATATACATTTTTTCCCCCTAGAGAGATTATTTTAAAGTCAAACCAAAGCTTACCAAAATTTTAACTGGTTTCATCACTTTTCTAGTAATGGCACCTGGGGCTCTTAAACGAATTGTTTCCAAAATACACCATTTAATTAGAGGGAGTTTCTTCAAGTCATCCTCAGACACTTTAATCTTATCTTTACCTGTAAAAAGAATTTAAAAAGAAAATGGACTTAAAGCGACCAGGAAATGATTCTAGGTAAGCTCATAAACATAGGTTAGATACTATCTCTGACGCTAGTGTCAATAGTACTATTACTCTTTAAATACCAGCTTTAGACATTTATTGCTTCTTACCAAGATAAAATGTATGGCATAAAAAACGAAGTCAATGTTGCTTGCTTGGTTCTCACAATCCTATGTCTGTCAAATGACTAAGACAGGCCCTGTCAGAAAGGTGTTCAATTTTCACCCATTTCATACTTCCTTGTCCAAATTCTCATTTCACTTAAGGAAACAGCAATAATATAAGACTGACGTCAAAAGTACAAAGAATATGTTCCAAGAAATCAGAAATACCAATTAGAAAGGACATATGCACCCCTATGTTCATAGCAGCACAATTTCCAATAGTTAAGATTTGAAAACAGCCCATCAGCAGATGAGTGGATTAAAAAACTGTGATAAATCTACACAATGGAATACTATACTGCTATAAAAAAGTAGGTACTTTTACCATTTGCAACAGTATGGATAGACCTGGAGAGCATTATGCTAAGCAAAATAAGTCAGTCAGAAAAAGATAAATATCACATGATCTCACTTATTTGTGAAACATAATGAACAACATAAACTGATGAACAAAAATAGATCCAGGGACAGAGAATCACTGAACAGACCATCAAACCTCAGAGGAAGGCCGGGGAGGGTGGTGTGAATGTGGGAGGAGGAGAACTGTAAGAGATCAACCAAAGACTTGCATGCATGCATATTAGCATAACCAATGGACATGGACACTGGGGCAGTGGGGGCTTGTCCTGGGGGGTGGGAGTGGCTGGGGAGAGGTGGACGGTGGAAAAAGGAGACATATGTAATACTTTAAATAATACAAAAATAGAAAAGAAAAAGAAAATAAGAGAAGAGAAGAGAAGAGAAGAGAAAAGGAAAGGAAAGAAAAGAGAAAGGAGAGGGGAGAGGAGGGGAGGGGAGGGGAGGGGAGGGGAGGGAGGGGAGGGGAGGGGAAGGGAGGGGAGGGGAGAGGAGAGGAGAGGAGAGGAGAGGAGAGGAGAGGAGAGGAGAGGAGAGGAGAGGAGAGGAGAGGAGAGGAGAGGAGAGGAGAGGAGAGGAGAGGAGAGGAGAGGAGAGGAGAGGAGAGGAGAGGAGAGGAGAGAGGAGAGGAGAGAAACTGAAGAAACAATTGCCTGGAGTACAAAGTAAGAGATCTGAGAAGCCATCTGGCTTACTTCTTCTATCTCTTCCCTGCTGATTCATTTAAGTTTTTGCTTATTTTTAATCATACATTTCAGAAGTTTCCCCCCAAAATATTAGGAAATGGGTGATGAGACACGTGTATTTCATCTGGAGTGATGATTCCTCTAAACATAGATGCATCAGATGTTCCTAAGGTAACATGCATAGCTTAGCTAATATTCAGACCCAAGGCAACTGAAAAAGAGTGGAGGCCAATCTCTTTATCATCCCAAAGTATGGGCAGGGCCTTAAATCAGATTAGACAATTTAGCTAATGATGGTATTTCAAGTAAAATGTTTCCATTTTGAAAATTAAAACAACTGAGCTTTCAATTGGTTTTGCAGTATATGCTCAATAAAAGTTAACAACATCATCAGTTAAATTAAGTCAACTTCCCTATCTGCTTCCCAACTGTACTGGGAATGGCTGGGTAAGAGTGAAATATAGGGTCTCAAGCATGTCTCTCCTACATTCTAGATGAGGTTTTTTTTAAAAGCAAGCCCGTCTGCATGAGAGGTGGGTCCATGGTGCCTGGGACACTCTATGTCAGCACATGTGGAATTCCTGGAGAGTTAGAAGCAAATGTCTTTGGTTAGTAGAGTCTGGGAACCAGGGCTTTTGGACTCTGGTTCTACTGATCTCCATAGGGGTGCCTAGACACTCTGGTAAACTCGATAGTTTCTTGACACAAATAGGGACCAGGGCTGAGTTAGGCTCTACAGGGTTACAACAATGAAGGTTTCTTGCAACACATTTAGTATCACAGGAGGTAAGAGACAAGCTCATAGTTAACCGGTATACCACGTAGGCAAGGAAGCTATTCTGTGAGGTGTAAAATATTCTGAGAGTGAAAGGCAGGAATGCTCACATTCAACTGCAGGTAAAGCTAAATATTCTATGAGTATCTCTCTCTAAAGCTACAAATATAATTAGTTCCTTGTATAAGTAGATCTCAATAAATACATATTGAATTAACAAATGGCCCAACTTCCACATGGAGAGATGAATGGTGGATATTCTAGGCAAACAAAAGATGAAGAGCAAGTCCCTAAAAAAGTTTGGACTCTTAACAGTGAAGATTCTAATTTCCTTTTATTTTATTGTACTATCTTTTATTTATTTTTCTGACCTCCTTTGAGAAAAAAAAGAGATTTTATAAGAGTTATTATTAGAGTAATTGAATTATAAAGTGCAAAAATGTTTTGTGTTATGTAATATAGAAAGAAAAGCTTCTTTTGAATTGAATATAATATTTAAAATCTATTATGACCTATAAAAATATGAGCTGCAGACTACTCTTGGAGAATAAATGTTTTGATAAAATAGTTTTAGTTTCTCAAAACCCAATGCTATGTGGGAAAAGCAAGGTAGTATTCTTGGATTATTCAAAGAAAAAAAAAGGAAATATGCTAAGTTTTCAAACAACATCTTTAGGTTAAAGACCTTTCTTATTATAACTCTTAGAAAAGGCTCTGTACTCATACTGTGCATATTTCAATGCACATCTGTGGTTTGTTCCCCCAGCGTTTTGACTCTAAAATTAGGAGGCTTCACTTGGAAGCATGACAAGTTCATCAGCAAGTGCGCTAGAGCCTAAAGCCACCCAGGACTGGTGCAGAAGACATTAGGGAAGAAATCATGGGTGATTTCGAGTAAAATTCAGAGACTATCATTTAACCATGGGCATAAATGCAATGAAAATCAAACCAAATATTAGGATATCTGAAATCAAATAAAAGAAGTAACGCATTAACTATAAATTGTATTTGTTAAGGTTATATAATTGATTAAAATTTTATTATTTCACCCATTTATTCACTCAATAGAAGTTTGCTTCATATCTGTTAGGTGCTAGCCTATGCACAGGTGCCATCAGAGACAGGAAGATAACAATACTAATTCATTGAACACCTAACATCACAGATACTTCGGACCACTTCACTTATTTCTTATAACTATCTGCCAGCTATCAAGCCTCAGAGAGGTTATTGTGTGTGAAGACAAGCCCCTGTGCTGCAAACCCATGTCTACCTACATTGAAAACCCTTGCCCTTGATCACTGATCTCCATAGGGGTGCCTAGACACTCTGGTAAACTCGATAGTTTCTTGACACAAATAGGGACCAGGGCTGAGTTAGGCTCTACAGGGTTACAACAATGAAGGTTTCTTGCAACACATTTAGTATCACAGGAGGTAAGAGACAAGCGCATAGTTAACCGGTACCGGTTAACTATGCGCTTCCCCTCAGAGGAGAAAGGAGGGAGAAAAACACAGCCATTTCCTTAAAGGAGCATGGACACAAGGACCCAACATCATATCTTTCACAAGAGAGGATTCAAGTGTCAGCTATGTTCCTTGCCTCCTGACTAGGATTGGAGTTCCATCTCCTAGTAAGCCTGCAGGGATGAGGGACGCTCACCCAGACAGAAAGAAAAGGCACTTAAGTACCAAAATTAATTATAAAAAAATGATTTCTTGACTAAAGAAAATAAACACAGATCAAATAAACCACCAAAGTGTGACAGATGGCTATTCTGGTGCCTTAATATTTAAGCCCCTGCCCCTTACACACACACACACACACACACACACACACACACACACACACGGAATATAAAATATAGAAAATCTGTTTATATAGTCCTGGGGTAATATTACATAAGGGTTTAACTAATAATTTTGGGGAAATAATCCATGTTTTGAGAGAAAAGAAAAGAATGATAGATATTTGTTGAGTCATTCAGACCTTTTGAGATATATTCTTAAAACACTGAATCAGAAGGTGGGGTTGCAAAGTGGGGTTGAATACTGAGGACCCCTGTGCTTCCACAAATGAAAGACAGATGTAGATGCTATCAAGGGACACATGGGAAGATGAAGAAAAGCAAATAATAAGTTCCACCGAAATTTAAACAGTGCATCCCTCCACATCCCCTCCACCTCTTTCTTTGCTTTTGAAAGCATGGATTCTCAGTTGTTTGTTGTTCTCTGCTGTGAGTTAAGCTTTCCTTTGCAGTGGCTGCCTTTTCATATTCATAGAGCAGCTTCTTTAAAACACTTAAAGGTTTATGCAAAAGGTCATAGCACACATGAAGAATGAACCTGGGGTAAAAATGTATGACATAAAGGTGGAAAAATAAAGAAATTCATGCAATAGCCTTAAGCAATGATCCCTATCAAAATTTGGTCAATAAATTTGTGTCCAAAATGTTATGGTAATTTATTTAAAAAGCAAAAGTCAAATAATGAAAATTAGTGTTTATTTTAGATTGTTATTAGGGAAGTTATGTAATTGCTTTGAAAAAGAAAGCACTTCTATGACTTCTAAAAAATAATGAAGCAATGACTTCAGCTGTAGAAAGAGATTAAGGGCAAGAAACTAGTTTTCTGGCATATTTTCTCAACCACAGACCTCAAGAAAAACTTCTGGAAAAATAATCCATTTTTAGAGAACAGAAACAAAGCTAAAGAGAAATAGTAAATAGTTTATAGTAATCCACAGGGAATAAAATCAGTATCTTACATTCTTCCCTTCATTTCAGGAATTTTAAAAACTCAATATTTTAAGTAATGTTCAAAAGTTCAATTTTTAAAAATTATACCTCTATTTTATGCCAGGAATATAGTATATAATAAAAGGCTAATATGCAAATAGACTGAACTGCAGAACAGCTGAAACAACTAAACAACCAAACAACTGGTCACTATGACATGGGCTGACCACCAAGAGG